TCTCCTCTAGTAGTTAATAATAGGTAGGAGCAATGATGAGGGTCACGAGCCTCTAGGGGAATACAGAAGAGGGGGTTCAGGCAGGCTTCCCAGAGGAGCTGACCCTTCATCAGAAAAGAGGCATGAAAAATGGCAGAGGTGAGGAACAGCATCAAAATCTTGGGGAACAGCAAGTAATTTGGTACATCTGCAAAGAGTATTGGTGAGCAGGGGGTGGGGAGGGCAAAGGCCAGATCAGAAGGCCCTGGGTGCTAAACTAGGGGGTTGTACTTGTTCCTGGCAATACCGAAGGGGCTCTTAAAGCAGAAGAGTTAGGTAGCTGGATTCTGCATTTTAGAGAGACAGGCTGGCCTTAAAAGACAAAGAACAGTCAACAGCGTGACTGATATTCAAGAAATATCACTTATCTAAGGAGGAAAAGAGGTAAACACCTTTGTATTACTCTTCTGTGTGCTGGGTGAGACGGGGCCTATTTTTGGCTGAGAGATATGACTGCAGGAACAAGGAGTAAGGCACATAATTGCTGAAAGTACTTTAAAGCAAAACATTTCAACATAGTCTCTAGTTAGTTGGCCTAGGACCCACAACTCCCTGTGTTCAGCTCTACAGTTTTTGAGGCTGATGTGAAAAGGTTTCATAAGTGACCAGAAGCTCAGTGGTAACACCAGCCTCTGGATCTCAGATTTCCTTAAGAATCCTCAGAACTCAGGTCCCTTCATCCTACATCTCACACAGTGAGATGGGTGAACCAAAGCAAAGAAGTCAGGACATTTTTTTTTTTCCCTGAGCATATAACTATTAGTTCTGAGTGGCAGAGGGTCTTTGGTTGAATCCTGGGGACACCAGGTTCTAAAACTCCTCACCTGGGCTCAGGAGGGCCCAGGGGAGCAGCCAGCCAGTCTTCTGGGCGCTGCAGGCCCCCTGCCAACCCCTTCCCTGGGGAAGGCTGCACCCAGCTTCCTTCCACCAGATGCGGAGTCCCCACAATGCTCTGCGTCCCTTCCTCAGAGCCCAGTAGGACAATATGGAAGTTATGCTCACAGATGTTTCTGTGAAAGGAAAAGGAAGTGAGGTAAACACCTGTCTGATCCATTCACTGGCCAGCTAAGGAGAATTATTTGAGTCAATCAGACAGAAATGGGACCCAGGAGAGTACTGCCTGAGTGAGGAAGTGATGACTGGCCAGCCCATTCCAGTTTTTAACAGAGAAAGACTCTGACAAATACAAAAATTACTGGCAAAAGCAGGCCAGGAGACAGTCCTTGCCCTCTGGCCTTCCTGGATTTGGTTTCATTTTTTAATGTGCCATGGAGGGGCCATGACACCAGTAACACCAGTCAACAATCTCCTGTTATCATCACAATGTGATGCTGGGGGAACCCTTGACAAGTCTATCTTCTCACACCACCCTCACCAAACAGCTAAACCAATAATATTTGGCTGCACAAAGCAAAAATGCCTTCCCCCCAAAGCACACAACCTGGCCACACAATTGCCCTTCCACTGCAAAGCTTCATTCAGTGTGATTAACTGCATTTACAAAATTCCTCTCAAAATCACAAAGCAATGTCAATATTTTTTTTAAACATTTTCTTCCATTCTCCAAGGTCATCAATCTATCTATGGTTATTCTCCAGCCAATTTATCTTCCTGCTGTTGCCATAGATAAAACTATTTTTAGTACACAACGGGTATGAAGGCAGATTTTTTTTTTTAACTTTACAACCCCTGTTGGTTGGCATCCATAAATGCCTCTCAGAGGTTTATCAGCTGACAGAAATTACTCTCCCATCTGTTTTTTTTTTTCCCTTGAGAGATTTCAGATAAGGAGGTACAAATTGTAGGTGGCAGCTATTAAACGAAGGATAACTAGTGACAGTCTGGTCTGGCTGCACCACCCTGGGCAGCTGACTCAGAGAACTCCCTGCTCAATGTCAGCTGTCACCACCATTTCTGGTCGGCCTGAAGGCCTGGCCGGACACATCCCGATTCCCCAGCAGTCCCTAATTTGGTAACCTCTTGGGATGAAACAGAAATGTTATTTTAATGGCTAACATTTTACTGCACAAGACCATTGCTTGTGGCATATCAGAGAGGAAAGATAGAACAATATAGAGTTTATTGAAAAACTTTCAACTTAGGGAACACTTTTCACTTGTTTGGTCTACAACTTTATTTTTAAGATATCCTATCCTTGTTCATCCAAAAAAAATAAGTGTTTTGCCCTAAAGCGGTCCAGTACATCACTGATAAACAGTATATGCCAAGAGTTCCATTTAGAAGAAATGATACTTCCTTTTTTCAGTATCTCAATTATGTCACTTGCCTTATGAAGTATCACTCCACCCTGCAAGACTAAACACAAATGTCTGCTGCAGAGGGAGGCCTTCCTCAGAGGCTTCAAAGAGAACCTTTCCTTTAAGCTTCCATGCAACCTGTCAACACTCTTCCCTGCTATTACAACCATCACTCTGTATGATGATAGTCTGTGACAAATGTCTATACCCACAGGTAGAATGAATCCCAATATCTAATCCTTCATCACACAGGTCTATAAATATTGTTCAATAAATCAATTAATCAATCAAAGATCACAGTTTCCACAAACACAATACCAGTGCTATTTGCAAATTCTGAACAGAGTTGGAAATCATAAGGAAATATTTAGTTATCTTCTTTGCAGAGCAAGTACCCATGTGCTCAAAGCAGCCTTACATGGTCTGATTCAGGGCACCAACCACTTCAGACCAAAGTATTTCAGATGTTTTACTCAAAGGGCAAAGCCTTCTCAACAGTGTGTTCATTCCATCAGACACCACAGCATGTATAGCTAAAGAAATACTTGAAAGTAAATGCCTGAGAAAAAAATCTTCAGAAAGGTTATCTACTATACTAATCACATTTGCATCCACCCATATCACTCCAGCCACTCAATGAGTACCCACTCTGGAAGGGGTCCTAGAGAATTTCACACAATCTGGTCCCACACAGGATCCTGACCAAGTTCAGGGTTGGTTTTGCAGTTACTTCATTCTTTCTCAATCATAATTATGTTCCAACTGAAAAGGATTTCCAGAGAAAAAGGACAAATACTCATCCTGGTATAAGGCTAGGACTGTAGTTGGAAACCCACTTGGACCTAACGGGAATCTTGCTTTATGAAGCCAATGATTGGCTTCCGTCAACCCTAAGTGTCTGGTGTTCACACACATCTGAACCTATCACCTGGCCCAGACCCAGGAGTAACAGAGTACTTCTGGAGCTAAAGAAAAACAGCATTGAAGACGACTGCTCGTCATTTGGGTGAGGTATGTAAAAATGAAATGAGCACATCTGTAAGACTAAAAAACAGGCAGGAGTATCAAAGGGGCCCCTGGCTTGGACTTAGCCACCTGTTTAGCTAAACATAGGGGAAATAAGTTGGTGGTGGTTTAGTTGCTTAGTTGTGTCCAACCCTTGTGACACCATGGACTGTAACCCGCCAGGCTCTTCTGTCCAGGGGATTTCCCGGGCAAGAATACTGGAGTGGGGAGCCATTTCCCTTTCCAGGGGATCTTCCTGACCCAAGAATCGAACCCTCGTCTCCTGCATGCAAGTGGTCTCCTGCATTGCAGGGTGGATTCTTTACTGTTTGAGCTAGGTGGCGTTTATGGTAAAGAATCTGCCTGCCAGTGCAGGAGTCACAGGAGATGCGGGTTCAATCCCTGAGTCGGGAAGATCCCCTGGAGGAAATGGCAACCTATTCCAGTATTCTTGCCTGGAAAATTCCATGGGCAAAGGAGCCTGGTGGGTTACAGTCCATGGAGCTGCAAAGAGTCAGACACAACTAAGCAGACAGACAGACACAGGGAAATAGATTAGAGAACTTTCAAGCACAGAAAAGACACATTGAGACGATGAGTACTGAATATCATAGTGAACAGATGAACCTACAAGGCACAAGGAGATCAAACCAGTCCATCCTAAAGGAAATCAGCCCTGAAATTCATTGGAAGGACTGATGCGGAAGCTGAAGCTCCAATGCTTTGGTCCCCTGATGCAAAGAGCTGACTGACTGGAAAAGTCCTTGATGCTGGGAAAGACAGAAAGCAGGAGGAGAAGGGAACAACAGAGGATGAGATGGTTGGATGGCATCACCAGCTCAATGGACATGAGTTAAGGCAAGCTCTGGGAGATAATGAAGGACAGGGAAGCCTGGCGTGCTATAGTCCATGGGGTCAAAAAGAGTCAGGTATGACTGAGCAACTGAATAACATGAACAAAAAAAGGCACAAACCAAGGCCCTGGCACTGTGCTCTGAGGCACCAGTCTTGGAAGAGATGTGAAATGGTAAAGATGTGGCTAGCAATTCTTTCACAGAGCACCTGGAGTGATGAGAAAAGATGCAACAAAGATGGCAAAGAAACAGCACTTCCAAAGGGCAACCTAGGTGGAGACGGTACCCACTGTGCTAATATTTAAATCAGAAAGAAGAAAGCACCTTGTATAAACCCAGGTCCCACAACCGGCCTACTGGGTGGCCAGCTACTAATATCTACTTTGTAAAATAAAGCCTACCTTAGTCAAGACCACTCCAAATCAGTGTTATTCTATCACCAATGGTGACAAGTAGCCCTTTCTTTTCATCTCTGGAAGGAGGAAAGTTTGGTTAAAGACATTTATCACCTTTGAGTCTCCAGATAAGGATAATGCAGAAAGTTTCCCGTGCTTTTTTTAAAACGGTGCCACCAATACACTTGGCTTGCGAGAGGCGGCGGGAAGGGAGAGGAAATCTCTGGGAATTCCAGAAAGTCCCTTAAGTCTTTCGATCCCATGAGGTGCCCCTGGGGCATAGAAAAGAAGGGACTTGCTCGCGGAGCTGGGAGAGAACCTAAAATTGAGTCCAGGTGGAGTGTCGGGGCCGAGGGACCGGTTTCGCGCGTCTCCAACCCCAGACCCCCAAGCGGGGCTCGCTGGACAGGGAAGTGGGACAGCAGCAGCTCCCAATCTTAGCTACTCACCCTCTTGTTGGGCGCCCCGGAGCTGCTGCCCGAGAGCAGGGTGACCGTGGACGTGGAGCGCAGCATCCCGCAGCAGCGGCGTCGGTGGCGGGCTCGGCGCGGCGCTGCTCCCGGGTGTAATAAGCCCGCGGTCGTCCCGCGGGAGGCGGGGAGGCTGTGAACCGCGCAGGCCACCGGCGCCGGCGGGGTGGGGCGGAGGCAGGGCCAAGGGGCGGAGCCGGGGCGGGGCCCGCGCACTCGCCTGACCTGTCAGGCTGCATTTTCTCCTGAGAGCGCAGACCCAGCAGCAGTTGGTCACCAACCTTCCCCCACGATTCTGCGTCCTCCCAGGGTCAGTCCTAGGACAGGACTGAGTGCCTACCATGAGTGCCTCCCAGCAGTCAACACAATCTACCAATCCATCAGTTCCCTATCCTGTGGAGTTTGCAGTCTGGTGGGGATACTGAGAAATGACAGGTGTCGGTGCTTTGGTAGAAAAGATGATACACACAGGAGCTCACAATGTGGCCTTAGGAATTAGCCGTGTAGGAAAAGCCTTCCCAGAGGATGCGATGACTAACCTAAGACCTGAAATACACGCAGAAGCAAGCCAGGCATAGAGCGTTCATTACACCTGCTCTTGTTTGTTTAATAGTTACCGCGACCCTGACTGGGAAGTCCTTTGCATGTAGTAACTCATTTAATCCTCACAACCACCTTTGAATAGCCACTATTATTGCCCTGTATCCCCATTTTGCAGATGAGGACACTGACTCACAGAGAGATTCAGTAACAGAGCAGATGCCCCACTGCCTGGAAAGTGGCAAAGCTGTGATGGACTCCACGGTCAGATCCTAGTGCCTTGCTTGTCCTCTCTGCTGCCCCCTAGCACAGAGAGGAGGGAATTACAGGCCAAAACAAACTACGTGGAAAGATGGCAAAAGGCAAGAGGTTTGGTAGAATTTTTAGAAACTGAAAATACCACAGTGCAAGGGACAAATGGTAGAAAAGCGCAGAAGGGCACTGGGCCAGATCATGAAGAACCTGGTGTACTTAGTTGAAGAGTTTGGCATTTATCTTGAGGACAAATGTATCTCAATAGGGAAAGACTTTCCCTCTCTAAGCACCCTTTAAAGCCCAAACTCTCCCTCCCTACCAAGCTCTCCAGGACCCTCCTGCCCTGAACACTTACACTCATGAACCTCAATGCTTTTTGAGACCATGTCTTCTTTAGAGTCATCAATATGTGTGTCTGTCCCCTTCCCAGTGGCGAGCTTCCAGAGGGTGAGGACCCAGCCTCACCCTACTCTGAATTCCCAGTGTGGCGCCAACACAGAAGACATTCAAGAAATATAAGAAATGTTGCTGAACAAAATTCCAAATGCTCCTGTAAGATTTGCTCCTTCTGCAGAGGAGGAAACAGACCAGAGAATCTAACTGATGCCACACAGGCTTTCCCAAAGTCACACAGACTGTGCTTTACCATCTCTATCATCATCATCATCACCCCAGCTCTGTCTGCATTCTCCCTGCTGCATATGCCTTTTCTCATCAAAATCTCACCATAACCAAAAACATGGATACTATTATCACCCCCATTTTACAAGTGAGGGAACTGAGACCTAGGGGCATTAGGTTATGGTGAATAGCTGGGATTAGACCTGTAGTCTTCTAACTCCAGGGCCTTTTTTTTTTTTTTTTACTACACCCTTCCTGCATCCTTCTATCCACCCACCTTTCAAAAAAGGAGACTAACAGATGGGTTTGCCTTCCAGTAAAAAGTGGTCAATGTTGTGTTAGCTTCAGAGGTACAGTGCTTTGATAAAAAATAAAAAGTAAACCAAAAGAAGTGGTCAAAATATGACTGTTGAAAGTCAATATGGGTTAGAGATAGCTGCATGATTACCTCAGGAGAAAGAGGCTAATGAATGTTGTTGTTATGTTGCCTTGAGGAGAAAGGAAATTGGGCTGCTGTTCAGACAGACCCAAGATAACCTGGCATCAGTGTTTGTTTATACTATGGCAACCACCCAAGTGATCGCTCAAGATGGAGTCAGCATTTGAGAGGAAGGGTGGGCTATGGATTCATTTCTCCTCCATCTATCCAAGTCTTTTTCATATTGTTAATACTTTTTGTACTGCATTATAGTTAATTACAAAAGCAGCAGATTTCGTATTCACTCATGACCTCTTGGTGGAAACTTGATCTTGCTTACATCCCAGCCTGTCTGTTGCCTAGAACAGTAATTGGCACGTAGTAAATGCACAATAAATAATGAATGGGTGAAGAAATGATTTACAGAGCAACTGGCACGTAGTAAGTGTGCAATAAACAGAGTGAGTGATGAAATATTACAGAGTAATTGGGATGTTGCAAGTGCACAGCAAATGTTGGATGAATGAAGAAATTATATTACAGGGAGTTTCCTGGTGGTCTAGTGGTTAGGACTTGGTATTTTCATAGCTGTGATCTGGGTTCAACCCCTGACCTAGAAAATACTATCTCACAAGTCACGCAGTGCAACCACATAAGGAAATAGAAAAAAAGAAAGGATATTATAGAGCAATCCTTCAGCTCACTCATAGTCATGCAAAATTAAGACTAAGCTCCTTTCTAATCCAGCTTCTAATGGAGGTGAGGGTCTCCAAGCAGTTTGCCAGCTGAAGCAGCCAGAGCCCCAGGATTGTCCCCAGGACCATCCCAGCCAGGGAAGTTCCCCACACCGGCCGTCACTAAGGGTTGCAGGGGCTGTGGGTGGGCAGATGCCAGGCTCTGGCTTACGCTATGGTCACTCCATGCCAGGCCAACACCTAAGAACTGCAAGAGAGGGGAATGGAGAGCCCAAAGTGGGAAAGGAGGAGGAGGAGGAAAATATTAATAGGAAGACAGATAGAGACTGAGCAACCAATGAAAAGGTGGAGCTGGCAGAGAAGGGAAAAACTCTAAAATGAAATCATAGTCCAGGAACTAGGACTTCTGCCCAGCCAGAAGATGTAGGGAGTGAGGGGTGGGGACAGGGACAGAGGCTCTGGTGCAACTTGCTCCCTTTCAGCACTGGCCTGGCCTCCTCTGGACCCTCCCTGAGCACTGGTGACCAAGGAGTGCCACTGGACTGGCAGGAACAGACACTGTAACATAAGTCTCAGCTGCCACACCTTCCGATCCACAGTAATAGCCACACGACTAAAACCTGTCCTAAATTTCTCTGCTGACACACAGGTCTGCAGAAAATTTTAGATGTCTGCATAAATACACCTTTCATTTTCTTGCAATCAGTCACTGGATTGCACCTCCTTCTCCCATCCCAGCTCCTGGACTACTCTCTTAGCCCCTGCTTTCTGAGTACGTCAAAGCTGCATACTGCCACCCCGCTTATTTACCTTATATGCAGAGTACATCATGAGAAATGCCGGGCTGGATGAAGCACAAGCTGGAATCAAGACTGCCAGGAGAAACATCAGCAACCTCAGAAATGCAAATGATACCAACCTAACAGCAGAAAGCGAAGAGGAACTCAAGAGCCTCTTGATGAGAGTGAAAGAGTTAGAAAAACTAAGATCATGGTATCTGGTCCCATCTTTTCATGGCAAATAGATGGGGAATAAATGGAAACAGTGGCAGATTTTTTTGGGGGGGGGCTCCAAAACCACTGTGGACGGTGCCTGCAGTCATGAAATTAAAAGAAGGAAAGTGGTGACAAACCTAGACAAAGTAGTAAAAAGCAGAAACATCACTTTGTCAACAAAGGTCCATATAGTCAAAGCTATGTTTTTTCCAGGGCTTCCCTGGTGGCTCAGACAGTAAAGAGTCTGCCTGCAATGTGGGAGACCTGGGTTCGATCCCTGGGTTGGAAAGATTCCCTGGAGAAAGGCATGGCAACCCACTCCAGTAGTCTTGCCTGGAAAATCCCCATGGACAGAGGAGTCTGGAGGGCTACTGTTCATGGGGTCACAAAGAGTCAGACATGACTGAGCAATTAAGGACATGGTTTTTCCAGTCGTCATGTATGGATGTTGACCAAAAAGAAGGCTGAGTGCCAAAGAATCGATGCTTTTGAGTTGTGGTGCTGGATAAAACTATTGACAGTTCCTTGGACTACAAGAAGGTCAAACCAGTCAATCCTAAAGGAAATCAACACTGGATTTGATTCCAATGGGGGCTGAAGCTCCAATACTTTGACCACCTGATACAAAGAGCTGACACTGAAAAAAGGCCCTGATGCTGGGAAAGATTGATAGCAGGAAGAGAAGGAGGCGACAGAAAATGAGATGGTTGGATGGCATCACTGACTCAATAGACATCAATCTGAGCAAACTCTGGGAGATAGTGATAGACAGAAAAGTCTGGCGTGCTGCAGTTCATGGGGTCACAAAGAGTCAGACACAACTTAGCAATTGAACAACAATTGCTTTCTGAATTATCTGTGACGCTCTCTTCTAAGCTCTCTCCAAACTATCGGCATCTTTAGCTGAGGAGCTCTGATGGGACCCACTTTTCTAGCAAAGCCCTGACTGGCAAAGACGACCTGTATTTCTTGGCAGAACCCATCAGGAATGGCATCGCTCAACAGGACACACAGGAGGTGAGCCCAGGTGATGCCTGGCTTCCTGGTATTTTTGCTCTCTTCACTCTTCTGTCTGCAGATTCCCTTTTTTTACCCCCTTCCATTCAGGTATCACAACACCTCAAAGTCCTGGTATATTCCCATTCTGAATGTCAAACAGAGACCAACTTTTCACAATACAAAAAGGACGCATTTCCAACCCAAGGATAAGGGTATTGAATTACTAAGCTCCTTTGGATAAAGTAGAACAAGAAATACCCCACATTCACTGAATGTCTCAGAAGCAGAGAACAGGGCCTAGAGATAAGGAAAGCAGACTGAGAGGAACCCAATACCTCAGCCACATCACCCAGATACACAGAATTTATAAACCTGTCTAGACACAGGGGGTGGAACCTGCTGCACACCCACTCTGGGGAATAAAACTCATAGAAAACAATCCTGTGCTTACCTGTTAACTCACAGACAAATGCCCAATTCATTGACTAGTACAAAGCCAATCCATTGAACAAATATGTACCA